ACACACACACACACACACACACACACACACACACACACACACAAGAGGGAGGGAGGGGAGAGAAGGAAGGGGGAGGAAGGTACCTCCCTTTCCCAAGCCAGTTCTGCAGATTGTTTCCTGTCAACAGTGGTGATGATTCTCCAGTCTCTAGCCCTTATCCAGGTCCCTGAAGCACCCTGCCTTTCTCCCTCAGTGCCCTAAGTCTCTAAGCTACCAGTAGACCACAGTGAACCAGAGACCTTATTCCCTGCCCTTGTCAGCCAGGCCTTAGAGTCCCCTTCTCTGCTCACCTAAGCCTGGGTGGGCCAGGAAGACAGGAGGCCACCTAGCGCTGAGCCATATGCATGCTGTATACCTCACATCTGTCAGCTTCACAGTGGCCCTGTGCAAATAGGTATCATGCCCTATTAGAGATGAGGGTGTGGTTAGGCATGATGGCACCAGTCTGTAATCTCACATCTGGGAGGTGGAAACAGGAAGATCAAGAGTTCAAGGTCATCCTCAGCTACATAGTAAGTTTGAGGACAGCCTGGGATACATGAGACCCTGTCTCAAAAAAAAGGGAAAAAAAGAGAAAGAATGGGACACAGAAAAGGGGTCACAATTCGCTCTTGTCTATGCAGTTTCACAGGGGCCTGGTTCTGTGTGGTACCAGTGTTCATAAGAACTGTGCCCTCCAAACCACGAGCCCTGAGCCCTGTGTGCAAAGACAGCAGGTTCTAGTTTGCAGGAAAACCGCCAGGCTCTGTGACACATTTCAAGGTCTTTCCAATGGGGAGGATGGTCCTCTGATTAAGGAAAAACTGTACCCCATTTCCCATTGGGAGAGATTTAGGAAAAACTTTAGCTCACCTGCCTTAAGTTCTCCTGACTCTCTTGCATTTCTCACTTCACAGGGCCTGGTTTTGGGATAAGCAGTTCTGGGCCTGGCTTCCCCCAGCCAGTGCCACCCACCGGGGCCTTTGCCAGCACCTTTCCTGCACCAATGTTCCCCACACAGGCTGTGCTGACTCAGCAAAAGAATGGTAAGAAGACTGGGTGTGCCCCCCCCCACACTCCTTGCTCTCTACTGTGTGTATGAATGGTACAGCCCCTCAGTATCCATGCATGTTCTGACCCAGGACCCCCATGGATACCACACTCCTACATGGTCAGGCCCCTCCTGTCAAATGTGTAGTGTTTACAGAGAACCTGTGCATACCTGTGGACAGGCCTTTAATTAAAAATAAAAACTTTTGTTTTAAGTGAGAACAGAGCTAGGGATGCAGCTCAGTGGTAGAGCACTTGCTTAGCATGTGTGAGGCCCTGGGTTCCATCCCCAGTACAGGAAAGGGAAGGGAAGGCGAAGAAGGAGGGAAGCTGTACATGTCTGTATTACTTTTTTTCCTTTTTTTCCTTTTTTTATATTTTTTTAAATATTTACTTGTGTGGGGGTGCACAAGCATACCACAGCATAGGTATGAAGGTTAGGAGAACTTGGAATCAGTTCTTTCCTTCCACCATGTGGGTCCTGGGGATCAAACTCAAGTTGTCAGGGTTGTGGCAAAAGCCACCACTAGGTCACCTTGCAAGCCTTTTTTTCACCCCAAGGTCCTAGGATTGCATCTGTGTGACACCATCCCTGGCTCTTTGTAATGTAATGTGAATGTAAATAGCTGTTACACTGTATTGTTGAACTGAGAAGGAGAAGGGTCTAAGCATGTTCAATACAGGCAAAATTTTTTTGTTTATTTTTATGTATATGTGTGTATGCCTGTGTGAGTTTATCTGTACCATGTGAATACAGGTGCCATGGAGGCCCGAAGAGGGTATCAGAGCCCCTGGGGCTGGAAGTATTGACAGTTGTGAGCCACCTGATGTGGGTGCTGGGAATCAAACTCAGATCCTCTGGAAGAGCAGCAAGTGCCCTTAACTGCTAAGTCATCTCTCCAGCTCTTATTCTGTAGCTTTTTTAATTAAAATTTTATTTATTTTATGTGTATAAATGTTTTGCCTACATGTATGTAAGTACACCACATATGTACAGTGCCCAAAGAGGTCAGAAGAGGGCACCTTAACTCCTGAGTCATCTCTCCAGCTCCCTTATTTTTTTATTACCTTTTTTTGGTTTTTTGAGACAGGGTCTCCCTGTAACCTCTGAAACTCGTAGATTGACCAGGCTGTCCTTGGCCTTGATCTCAAAGAGGTCTGCCTGCCTCTGCCTCCTGAGTGCTGGGATTAAAGACATGTGTCACCACAACCAGCTCTTACTACTATTTTAAAATTATTTTTATGTATGTGTTCATGCATGAGTTTATCTGTGCTATGGTCCCCTGGAAGTGGCAGCTGTGGATGCTGAGAACCAAACCTGGGTCCTCTGCAAGAGCAAGTGTTAACCACTGAACCATCTCTATAGCCCTTAATTACTTTTTTTACTTAAAATTTTTAACTTTGTGTGCATATGTGGTAATATGTGTGAGGGTGAGCATGCATGTATGTGTATGTGTGCATGTGGAGGTCAGAGGTTGACTTCAGGCATCTGATTACTTCACCTCTTTGTCTGGGAGTGGGATGTGTAAGGTGGCCTATGGAGGCCAAAGGCAGATGTTGGAATGCCTTCTATTGGTCTTCCACCTTACCTTCAAAACATTTTCTTTTTTTTTATTTTATGTGTATGAGTGTTATGCCTGCATGTGTGTAAGTGCACCCATGTTGTGCAATGCCCTTAGAGGACAGAAGAAGGCATTGGATCCCCTGAAATTAGAGTTATGGACAACTGTTAGCTGTCATGTGGGTGCTGGGATTCGATCCCAGGTCTTCTGTAAGAGCAGCCAGTGCTCTTAACCACTGAGCCACCTCTCCTGCCCCTTTTTATTTTATGTATATGAGTGCTTTGCCTGCATATATGGAAATGTGCCATATATATGCAGTGAGTACAGAGGCCAGAAGAGGGCATCTGATCTTCTGGATCTGGAGTTACAGATGGTTGCTTAGACAGCATGTGGGAGCTGTTCACTGAACCTCAGTTCTCTGCAAACCACTGAGCCATATCTCTAGACCCTCCACCTTATTTTTTTGGGACATGGTCTCTCACTGAGCCTGGAGTTAAATGATTGGCTAGATGGACTGACCAGCAAGCTCCAGTGACCCTCCTGTCTCCCCAGCACCAATAATCCCAGAGCTGGGGATCAGAACTCAGGTCCTCGTGCTTGTGTGGCAAGCATTTTTACTATCTGAGCCATCTTTCCGACTCGTGGTATTTAAAAGTAAAGTATTTCCAGTGGGCTGCAGAGATGGCTCAGGGGTTAAGGGCATTTGCTGCTCTTGCAGAGGACTCGGGTTCAGTTCCCCAGCACCCATATCAGGTGGCTAACAACCGCCTGTATCTCCAACTCCAAGGGATATAACACTCTCTTATGGCCTCTGCTGGCATCCGCATGCATGTGCACAGATAACACACAGATACATGCATACACACACACACATACACACACACACACACACACATACATAAATCTTTAAAAACATATTTCCTGGGGGCTGGAGAGATGGCTCAGCGGTCTCCAAAGCTCTCTTCTGACCTCCAAGGCATTGCACAACACGGGTGCACTCTCATACATGCAGACAATACACTCATACACATATAATAAAAATAAAATATTTTTTAAAAAAAACATATTTCGCTGGGTGTGGTGGCGCACGCCTGTAGTCCCAGCACTTGGGAGGCAGAGGCAGGCGGATCTCTGTGAGTTCAAGGCCAGCCTGGTCTACATAGCGAGTTCCAGGACAGCTGGGGCCACAGGGAGACCCTGCTTCAAAAAGACCAAAAAAAACCACATATTTCCTAGGGCTAGAGAAATAGCTCAGCGGTTAAGAACACTAGCTGTTCTTGCAGAAGATCCAGGTTTGAATCCCAGCACCCACATGGCAGCTAACAATTGTCCATAACTCCAGTTCCAGGGGCTCCAACAACCTCTTCTTCCCCCGCAGGCATTTCACAACATGGGTGCATTTACCTACCTGCAGGCAATAACACACATACACATAAAAATAGTAAATAAAATATTTGTTAAAAAAACATATTTCCAGTCATGGTTAAATTTTAGAAGCCCAACTCACTGGACGGTCTGTTGCCTGTAGCACACAGACCTGAGCCAGCTCCTGTTCTGACCAGTAGGGGGACCAGCAGCAAACCTACTTGTGTCTCCCACTGTTCCTTACTTTTCTTCCCAAATTCTAGAAGGATCCCTCTTGATGCCTGGGGATGTGGTAAGTGGCCCTCCTCCAGGAAGGTGACAGACACAGTCAACTGAGTTATTGAACTTGCCTTGTAGGCTCTAACTTTGGGGATTTGGGATCTTCCAAGCTGGGGCAGAGACCACTGAGCCAGCCAGCTGGGATCTCCACCAACCCTTTCATGGTGAGTGCCCCAGTGTCACGTTGCAGATAGACAGGATTGTTCTAGAACATGGTAATATGAGGTGGAACTCAGACCCTTTCCTCTTTTTTGTGTGGGTATGTGTACCCGTGTACTGATGGAGGTCAGAGGAGGACGTCAGGTGTCCTGCTCTGTCACTTTCCACCTTATTCACTTGAGACAAGGTCTCTCACTGAACCTGGAGGTAGGCTGACAAACCAGCAGGCCCCAGTGATCCTCCTGTCTCTGCTCTTACAACTCTGGAGTTACAGTGCAACCACTCCCAGTTTTTTATGTGGGTGCTCAGGATTTGTGCTCAAACACTTTTACCTGCTGAGCCATCTCCCTAGCACTTTTCTTTTTTTTTTTTTTCTGAAGCTGAGTTATACTACCTAGCCCAGGCTGGCCTGGAACTCATGATCCTCCTACTTCAACCTCTCCTGAGTGCTGGGATTTCAGGCATGTATCACCGCACCAGGCTTTTGGGCCCCTGCCCCATGTAGTCGGTGTTGCTGCCCTAGCCAGGAATGAGTAAATTAGTTATGGGGCCCTGTTCTGGACCCTGTCCCCTTTCACACTACCCACTCCTTCCAGATCTCCTTCTCTTCTTCCCTGTCATTACCTCTCCAGCACAGCAGTTTTAGAGAAAAAAGAAACCCAGAAGTGGAAGCCAAGTGTGATGGTACATGCCTTTAATCCCAGAGGCAGATCTAAAGATCAAGGCCAGCCTGGTCTATGTAGTGGTTCCAGGCCAGCCAGGGCTATAGAGTGAGAACCTATCTCAGGAAAAAAAAAGAAAAAGAAAAAGGAAGATGGGGGGGGGGAGAATGAATGAAAGAAGGAATGAACAAAAGAGGAAGAAAGGAATAAAGTGATGTGCTTTCGTTTGTGGCCTCCAGCAATTCCCCCTAATCTACTAATATTTCCTCTTTCTTTCTAGACTGGACCCTCACCGTTTGCCTCCAAACCACCAACTACCAACCCATTCTTGTAGCACTGTGCCCCTGGGGAGAGAGGAGCCTCTTCCCCTACTTTCTGGGGACTCCCTCTGCCCCCTTTAGAGCTCTGATGACCATTTGCCTGTGGGGCACTTCTGTGGGTCTGAATTGGGCCTGGTTTGCAGAGCCAGAGGCCTGGGAACAGCAGGGGTACTAACACTCTACTTGGCGCCTGCAGATGAATCAGAGAGCAGACTCCTGGTCGGTGGCCTAGAGGCTTCCTCCCTCCTCTCCTGACCCCTACCTGGGAGGAGGCCCTGAAGGAACAAAGGTGCCCTGACCTGGAGTTGCCGCAGTAGTGTATTTCTGTCAAATGATTAAGTATGAAGACAGCCCTCGTATCCTGCTCTCCATGTATGTATACACATGGCGCTCCTGCCCCTCCAGGCCTGTGGATAAGAGAAGTTGTAGGCACAGCCCCAGCAGCCAGCCTTCCCACGGGAGCAAGTCTTCTCCATGCCAGACTTTCCAGATAGAACATAGCAGGGAAAGTAGGGTAAAGATGAGGTGTGGTGTTGACAACCACCAAACAGCCCTGGGGCCGAAAAGCTCCTGATGTCCAAAATCTTTTTTTCCCCAACTCTGCCACACCCACCTTTCTGCACCTCAATTTTGCTTCCCTGGCTGCCCCCCAAATCCTGGCACTCAGGATGCATAGTTTTACCTACAGAGTTACATGTGCCCAGTTCCTGTCAAGCACTTTAGTTAGTTGTTGGTGTCATGTTTGGATACCAGTGTTTTATATTTATACATAGAGAATTTTCTAATATAGCATATTACATATACATATATATATATATATGCACATTCATAAATATATCCACAGATACATACAACCCAGCCATCCTTCATCTTCCACACAACCCTTTTAACACAGGGAATGGAGCTGGACCTACTGGTGCAGGCCTCTAATCCCAGCACTTGGGAGGCTGAGGCAGGAGGATCACAAGTTCAAGCTTAGCCTGGACTACAGAGTAAGAGCAAGGCCAGCCTGGACAACTTAGTGAGACCCTGTCTCAAAAAAAAAAAAAAAGTTGTCTTTCTTTTTTTTTTTTAAAAAAAAAAAAAAAAAAAAAGTTGTCTTTCTTTTTTTTTCTTAAAAAAAAAAAAAGAGGTCTTGAAATATAGCTCAATGGTAGAGTGCTTACCTAGAATCCCCTAGTGAGGGGCTGGGGACATGGCTTAGTGGTAAAGCACCTGTCTGTGCCTGGATCATCAAAAGCTGGAACCCCTGGTGGGAGGGGGGCTAACCATATGTCCTGACCCACCCCCCTCCCCAACATGCACCTTTCCAAGGAAAGGCCTGTGCAGTAGGCTGGGTTTTTCATTTTGTTCTTTTCCTTCTTCACATTCCTCCTGTTGCTCCCAAAGATCTGCACCAAAGCTCGTTTGCAGGCAATGTTGGAAAAGAACTACATTTGAAAGAAAAAAATGACTCTCGGTGTCTTACTTTGGGCCAGCTGGAGGGGATACAGGTCAGTCAATATGATTGGCCCTTGACTTGGCTCTTCCAACTGCCCGGGCTGATGAACGTGTGACAGTGGCTGACCAAAGGCTGAATTGCACCCTTGTCAGCAAGAGGAAAGGATATGAGGGTCCCCTGCTGGTTGTGGGGCTGGCAGGGAGCAGGTGCCACATGGATTTGCTAAGTAAACCAGCCTTCAGTGTTCTCAGCACCCCCAGACATTCCCACCTGAGGTGCTTGTGTCAGCAGCCACGTGTCTGAGCTGTTTGCATGGGGTAAATCCTCCCCTCCAGCTGAGAACAGACTTCAGACTTGGCCTTGCTGTTTATCCCTGAGGCCTGGAGAGACCCCTCCCTTCCCAACCTCCGAAAAAGTTCCTGGCCCTCTCAACTACTCATTCTTGAGATTTCTCTTGACCCTTCCTTCCACAGTGACCTGCAAAGAGATGTGGGGATTGGTTTATGTTTCTTTGCCTTACAGACTCCTGGCAATTTCGAGCTCCTTGCTGTTTGCTCAGCCAAGTTTGGCCTCTGGTTTGCAACAGCAGTCTGTCCCCACCCTGAACTTCTTTCTTGGTTACCTAGCTGCCTGTTTCCCAGACTCCTACCATTTGTCCCAGAGTTTCTGTACTGTTTCCCTGCTCCAGGTAGTTGGTCATTTGGGTTTTTGTGGGGTTTTTGTTTGTTTGGTTTTTTTTTTTTTTAGACAGTTTTGCTATGCAGCCCTGGCTGGCCTGGAATGTTCTGTTTAAACCAAGCTGGCCTCAAATGTCCCTGAGATCTGCCAGCCTCTGCCTCCCAAATGATGGGACTCAGTGTGCGCCTCCATGCCTGGCCTTTGTTCTTGACAAATCTTGTGTAGCTCAGGCCGGCTTCCAACTCGGTCTCAATGCCTCAGCCTCCCAAGTGCTAGGATCACGGGTGTGTGCCACCATGTCAGTACCACTCCTCCCAAGATTTTTTGTGTTTTTTTTAGACAGGATCTCACTGTGTAGCCCTAAATAACTTGCACTCAGAAGGATTTGCCTGTCTGCCTTCCAAGTGCTGGGATCAAAGGTTCTTACCACCATGCCTGGATTTTTTTTTTCCCTTTTTCTTTTTTTTTGGAGCAGAGTCTCCTATAGCCTCAGCTGGCCTGAAACTGCGACCATGCCAGTCCCACCTCGTCCCACTCTGTTTTTTGTTTAGATAGGATCTCACTATGTTGACCATGCTGGCCTGTGATCCTCCTGCCTCTGCCTCTTTGCTGGGACCAAAGGCATGCACCACCTTTTTTTTTTTTTTTTTTCCTAGAGAGGACTGGCCTCAAACTTGCTGTATAGCTAAGCAATGACCTTGAACTTTCGATCCTCCAGCCTCTACCTCGGGAGTGCTGGGATTTCAGGCATGTGCCACCACACCCAGTTTTATGTGGGGCTGGGGATCAAACTCAGGGCTTCATGCATGCTAGGCAAGCACTCTACCAATGGAGCTACATCCCAGCCCATCCCTGTTTTTTCTATATTCTTTCATGCTTGGAGTCAGGAGTGAGGGCAGCTGAAGTCCAGAGCTGTTTTCCCTCACTCTTAACTCCAGATCACTTAGCTTTAAAGCGCCCTGAGCTGAGGCCCTTTCATCCTGTGTGTCAGTCACACTGTCTCCTAGAGACTTACAGCCTGAGCCCTCAACCTTCTAGCAGCCTTCCCCTCCTGTCCCTCTGTCTGACATGGACCTTAGCCAGTTTACTGGCCAGGGCTGGATGACCATGCTGAGAATCTGCCCTGAGTCAATCTCAAAGCCCAGGACAGAAAAGTCAGGCATTCCCTGGCCATGGGCTGAGCCTGGGACTGGAGTCACCATCCTTGGTAAGGGGGGCCCAGCACCCTCCATCCAGCCTCTTCTCTCCAGCTCAGTGGCAAAAAGAATGGAAACATCCCCAGTCTGCAGAAAACGTAGAAATGTCTAGACTTGTTTTCCTATTTTCATGGCCTTGCCTGATGACTGCAAACCTAGATAGTATACACGTAACATTCACAAGATGGGTGAGGTACCTGGCTCACTTCTAGCAAGGTCCTTCCATAACACAGGTCAGGTCAGTGGTCTAGGCATACTATGCAAATGAGCCCTCAGATCCAATTGTCAATCATGTGGCCAGCCTCTGTGGGTGGTAAAGCAGGAGCTGAGCCCCCACAGTTTTCACAGAAAAGCCCCTGGGTGGGATGACAGAGGGGGCTAACTACTTGGCTCAGTCCTCACATGCCCTCCACACAAGACTAAATCATCAAAGGGACCATCTACAAAATACCCAGTGGGTACCTGCCCCTGGCAACAAGATCTTCCATAGCGATGTGGAATATGGTGTGTCCTCAACCTGGCAGATCCCCCAGGCTGGGAGGGACACGCAACAAAGCCCAGATTCTGCCACGTCCTGTACCCAGAGAGCAATTCAGTTACCAGGGTTGCAAACTATAATCTTGTCTGAATTGTGCCAAGAGCAGAGTTATTGCTATGACAACTGAGGTAGGCCAGGCTTTTCCTGGTACCCAGCAGGCACTGGTTACTACCCTCAACTCTTGCTGGTCCACACCCCAGGCACTTGGGTAGTTGTTATTTCCTGCTGTATCTTTTACCCAGGACTTCAGGGCTGAGTGACACAGAATGTTTGGAGCAGTCTGTGTGACAGAAACTATGATTTCACAAGGACAGATGTTGCAAGATAAGGCGGAGGGAGGAAGGAAGGAGATTCAAAGACCAACCCTGGATAGCTTCAAATCCTGGGGTAAACAGGGCTCCCCAGCTAGGAGCAAAACAGAGACTTGGGACCTGCACACAGTGCTCTCCAAGATGGCAGGAGGAGTGGGAAGGGGAAGATGTGTACATATCTTTTGTCACCATGTCCACATGAAGCTTGGTGGCCACCATGGGGCCTGTGGCCATGAATGTAGTCCTATTTGGGCTACCTGCTCTTCTTCAGCACCTACTCATCTCTGGTGCCACCACTACAGCCACTGAGTTTCAGGTTTTGTGAGTTTGTTTTGAGAGAGGGTCTTGCTGTGCAGCCCTGGCTAGAACTGGAATTCACTTGTGGACCAGGCTGGCCTTGAACTTATATTCACCTATCTATGCCTCTTGAATGCTGGGATTAAAGGCATATGCCACCACATCTGGCTTTTAAAAAAAATATGTGTGATACGTGTGTGTGCATATATATGAGTATGTGTTTGCTATATCACAGCATGTATGTAGAGGTCAGAGAACTCAGATGTCCTCCCTTTCTACTTACAGTGTCTTTTGCTGTTCACCACTGCATTCACCAGGCTATCTGGCCTGTGAGCTTTCAAGGATTCTGTCTCAACCTCCTATCTCATCACAGGATCCCTAGGATTACAGATATGCACCATATCCAATTTTATGTGCGGTCCATGGATCCCAGCTCCAGTCCTAAGGCTTGTATGATGGGGCTTCATCCACTGAGCCATCTCCCCAGCCCTACCAACTGAATTTGGAGCATGTCTCTCAGCCCTGGGTAATGCTCTGGCTGACAGACGCACCTGAGGCAGGTTCACTCTGGGTATCTGCTATCAACATGTCTTTTGAACAAGTGTTTAATATGCCCACTGCAAGTGATTTCTCCAATACTCCACAAATGAGTCTTGGGCTTCTGCTCAGGCTGCCCTTGGACTAACCTCACCCCTTCCATCTTTACCAGAGTCCTAGTATGGAAAACAGTGTCCAAAGGGCTGGGGAAGCCATTTGATCAGTTAAAGTGCTTTGCTTGTGTTCTAGTTTGCTTTCTGTTGTGATAAACTCCGTGACCAAAAGCAACTTGGGGAGGAAAGGGTATATTTCATCTTGTAGCTTATAGTCCATCATAGAGCAAGGCAGGGCAGGACCTCAAAGCAAGAACCTGGAGGTAGGAACGAGCAGGAACTGGACCATGGAGGAACACTGCTTACTGGCTTGCTCCCCCTGGCTTGCTCAGCTACCTTTCTTAGACAGCCTGGGCCCACCTGCCTAGGGATGAGACCACCCACAGTGACCTGGGCCTTCCTACATCAATTAACAATCAAGAAAATGCCCTACAGACATGGTCACAGGCCAGTCTGAAGGAGGAAATTCCTCAATTGAGGCTCTTTCTTCCCAGGTGAATCTAGTTTGTGTCAAGTTGACAAAAACTAAGCAGCACACCTTTAAGAATGAGGACCTGGGGCTGGAGAGATGGCTCAGCAGTTACAAACATTGGCTATTCTTGCGGAAGACCTGGGTTTGAATCCCAGCACCCACATGGCAGCTAACAACTGTCCATAACTCCATTTCCAGGGGAATCTGACACCCTTTTCTGACCTCAGCAGGCATTGCATGACACAGGTGCACTTACACATATGCAGACAT